CAGTGTAAGGAATAACTGTATACATCAATTTTGCATCAGAAAAGCTTTTGATATCAGTAAAGCTGTCTGCACCTTTTGGGAAGCATCAAATCACTGGTATATGAGCGGTCAAAACACATGCTTGACTGCATAACTTTTTTTTTAATTAGTTGAATATTGTGCAGGTACAAGTTTAAACCACCTCTTTGAACCACCAGGTAGCAGTATGTTACTTTTATTTAGGAGTGCAGATTGCATAAGTTTTATAAATACATATTTTTAAACTTATTTTTAAACGAATGAACCACCAAATTATCCAGCACATTTTTACGCAGTGGATGCCCTTCCAGCCACAACCCATCTCTGGGAAAATATATATATATTTACTATTTTCCCAAGTGTATTTAACTGCTGCTGTTAGAAAATATCAGCATTCGGTACATAACTTTCAGTATTATCTTTGCATGAACTGACCCGATCTAATCCTGTTTATATAAAATGAGCTGCTGCTCCTAAGCAGGTTTGAGCTACGAGAACTGTTACTATGACAACAAGGCTGCGTCCGAAACCGCATACTTCCATACTATATAATACGCTAAAATCAGTATGCGAGCCGAGTAGTATGTCCGAATTCATAGAATTCAAAAATCAGTATGCGAGAAGTACCCGGATGGCTTACAACTTCCGGTGAGATTCTGAAGTGCGCATCCCATGCACGCTGCGCTATCCCATAATGACCCGCGAGCGAATTCATGAATGAGAGTAAAGCAACGCAATTGACGCAGGTAGGTCTCGTGACCATGACAAAATGGCGGATGTAGTACGTCTGAATTCCATTCATACTTTTCACATTCATACTGTATAGAACGCACTTTTCTAACGGCCGAGCAGTACGTTTAAATTCAAATGCAGTACCTACTGAGTAGTAGGCGGTTTCGGATGCAGCCCATGTCTCGGATCAGTTTTGGATCATGTAAAATCTTCAATATCCAAATCCAGCTAACTGAGTAATCCACATACAAAGAACGGACCCCAGATGTCTGTCTATCTGTCTGTCTGTGTGTGTGTGTGTGTGTGTGTGTGTGTGTGTGTGTCTTACAGAGAAGCTCTCTTGTTTCTGAGGGATGTAGTTGTCGATTCTCTTGTCTCCCCAGTCGAACACCAGCTCCTCTTCCTCGCGGTCGTTCACCCACATGATCTGGTCTGAAATCTCCCCGATGATGTTGCGCAGATCCTGCAGCTGCACACTGCGCTGGTGCGAGCTATTCTGAACGCACAAATAAAAACACATCAGCTTTATTATCACACACACATCCATTTGCTTTATACATTGCTTGTAAATGTTACAAGACAATGCATTAGTGAATTTCTCTTTCAAATCTGAACATTTGTTTAACCCTTGTGTACTGTCGAGGGGTGCCTTTCTGAAAACCATCAGCAGCCTACTAAGATCGCAAGTTCCGTTGTTACAAACATACTTTGTTGATTTGCCGTTTCCCAAATCTGTCACTCCAACGAACATTCGCAAACTCGTACACTTGCAACTACACCTCTGAAGCTGTTCAGAAACATAGTTCCTGGCTGTGTTCTATTCACACTTATCCCCCCTATGCCCTATTCATTTAGAACATTCCAACATTTAAACTTGGAATTATTCTTTTAAAGCATTAAGCTCATCTCTCTTAGGTGTAATTTGCTTTCAAAGTATTTTTACAGTTCAGTTTTAGCGATCTTCATGTTTACAACTGCGCTCCCTTCGCAGTGCACTTTGAAAACATTGATGTCATTTTGAACACAGCAGTGGCTCATGACCAAAGCTATAGTTGGCCTGTTATTTAAAAGTGGAATTTATGTTAGGTCTCCAAAGCTTGTGAAAACAAAACACACAGCGTACGCTCATATTGTTGGAGACCCCTAATACCAAAATATGACCTTTTATAATGCAAAATAGGGGCTCTTTAAGTATTAACTTATTCCTTTCTGTGATTTTTAAAAAATATTTCATATAACTATATTTTTTATACATTTATGAAATTATAAAAGCTTATGTATTATGTTTGTTAGGTTTTATAGCGTTTGATGTTTTTTATGTTCTCGTTGGGTCTGATGCATCGTAATTTCGTTCTGCATTACAATTTATTGTGATGTTTTGAATGACTTTTGAATCTCTTCATCTGCTTCAGAACGCAGCAGCACGAGTGGTCTTTAATGAACCTAAACGAGCATATGTCACTCCGCTGCTCATCCGTTTGCACTGGCTGCCAGTTGCTGCTCGCATCAAATTCAAAGCTCTGATGTTTGCTTACAAAGCGACTTCTGGCTTTGCTCCTTCTTATCTGCTCTCACTTCTGCAGATGTATGTGTCCTCCAGAAACTTGCGTTCTGTGAATGAACGTCGCCTCGTGGTTCCATCCCAAAGAGGGAAGAAATCACTTTCCCGAACTCTCGCGCTCAATCTGCAGTCACTCGCTGTCTTCATGAAACCACTAAAAACTCAACTATTTAGTCTCCTAATCTAAGACTTCCTATTAAGACTTCCTAATCTGCAATTCCCTCTCTGACTCCTCCACTAACTACTACAAAAAAACAAATAAATAAATAAAAATACTAATGTTTTGCGTCTTACACTTTACACACCTGAAACTTGCCTACAGCACTTATTTATTGTTGCTCTTATAGTTGTGTAAATTGCTTCCCTGTCCTCATTTGTAAGTCGCTTTGGATAAAATCGTGCTAAATGACTAAATGTAAATGACAAAAATAAAGGGAACTGAAACTGAAACTCAATTAAACTCAAAGATAAATCTCAATTTCAATCAAAAAGATATCAATGATTATTAATGACCCTTAGTAATCAATATTTGGACTTATGGCACAACACATGGACATGAGCTCAATCATTGCTGGTGATGCATTGTATATACAGTAGGTGAGAGTTCAAAGTGGCTATTACCGCCACGCCTTATACCGCCGACGTTTGAAATAACTGCCGCTCTGTTTTTAGTATATGACCGCAGCTTGTGAATGAGCCGCCAGGGGGCGCAAAGGGACGGGATGCGAACGGACAGAAATAGCCTTTACAGCAGCTTTAAATATGCTACTGTGCTTGTAAATGAGATTAAACAATAAGTCAAAGCATTATAATTCCTTCATTAATCATTTAAAATTTGTTAACACACTTTATTGTAAACTTTTTAAGTGCAAAGAGGACTAGTTTTGGAAAATAAAATTGAAGAAATAAAAGACAGCTAACACGAAAGCACAAACATTCAGTACAAATGAGTAGTCTTAAATAAATAAATAAAGCAGTCTTTTAGCCTAAATATAGAGAGATGTTCAGTGTTTGCTATTTTGATAGGACTAAGACAAGACATTTTCATTTATGTTTTTATTTCTGTTTTTGTTTTAATTTTCGTTGTTGATTATATTTTACTATCTTATTTTATGTCTCAACAATTGCACATAATAATAAAAGAATAATGAAAACTAATTAATAATGAAAATAGGCCTAAATAAATAATTTATTTAAAGATATTGCGGCGAAACACACGGTCAGGGGCATGGTCTAAAGAGCTTAAGTTGAATGCTGCTTCATCAAAAGCAAATAAATAACTAAATAAATTGACCTACCTTAAGGAGATCACTGAAAGTATAATAAAACTAATTTTGCCGCAGGACATAACATAAATTAAGTCTCGCAGGTTTATTTTTAATAATTTAGTTTCAGTTCAGTTTTTGTTTTTTTTCAAAACGTCAATTGTTTTGTTTTTTAATTAATGGCTCAGTATGTTTGGTATTTTAATTTCAATTTCAGTCACCTTGCATATGCGTGTGAAATATAATGCCGCATAACCGCGAAAAAAGAAGAAAAAGCTGTCAGTTAGACCTAATTCATCAAAATGAACTATAATAAAATACAGCATGTATGTTAATACAGGCAGAATGTGAACAAACTCAAGGTAAGGCTAAGATATGTGCTTGCTTTTTAATGCATTTAAAAAGATTTGCGGCTACTATGGTGTATAATAATGTTTTTTTTCTTCCTTTTTTGTATGGTAAAGGACAATGCACATTGTTATTGATGTAAACTTAGACTAAAACTTACCATTGATAAACGTGACCTAGCCTACTTCAAGCAGATAACTTAAAGTATAATAAAAATAATTTTGCCACAGGACATAAATAAAGTCCCGCAAGTTTAGTTTTAATAATTTGGTTTCAGAAAAACATCTGTTTTTCTTTAAAGTAAAATTGTTGTTTTTTTGTTGTTGTTGTTTTACTTGTAATGCATTGTATATATACAAGTGTAGCAACATTAGAGCTGATTGTGCAACATCTCCATCTCTACTGGAGGTGTCAGTGTGGTTAATAAACACTGTAGTATTTACTATAAATTCATTCATTAACTCGTTTTCTTGTCGGCTTAATCCCTTTATTAATCCGGGGTCGCCACGGCGGAATGAACCGCCAACTTATCTAGCATGTTTTTACGCAGCAGATGCCCTTCCAGCTGCAACCCATCTCTGTGAAACATCCACACACACACTCACACTCATACACTACGGACAATTTAGCCTACCCAATTCACCTGTACCGCATGTGTTTCAACTGTGGGGGAAACCGGAGCACCCGGAGGAAACCCACGCGAACGCAGGGAGAACATGCAAACTCCACACAGAAACGCCAACTGACCCAGCCGAGGCTGAACCAGTGACCTTCTTGCTGTGAGAAGTCTGCGTCGCCGTCTTACTATTAATTACTATAGTATATTCTCATGTGTGTGTCTGACAGCTGAAAATAGACCTGGTAGCAGATATCGCAGCCTCTGTTACTCTTTACCTTGCACATTTATTATTATTTATTCAGGATATGCATTTTCACATCCTGACTCAAATGCCTCATTACTAAAATGACTATAATTAAATGAAATATTCTAAAGAATAAGATATGATGTGTTCTGTGTAAGTGTGTACTTGCATTGTGATGCTATTATATTGTCATTCTGGCATTATATAATGAGAGGCTCTATTAAAACGGCCATTAAAATGACAATAATATAGTTTATTGTAATATATTTTGGTGCAATTTATCATACATTGTGACAGGCCTACTAATGACGGGTTTTGTAGTGCAGGGTCACACACGAACACAGCAGTGTTTGTAGCAGAGGTGTAAATCAACAGTCCAGAAGGGGGCGCAACAAGCAAATGCAAGCCAAACCTATTTTTTCCCAATCTAAACTAAACTGCTTGAAAAAACTACAATTTAACATGAGTTCTCAGGTCAGTCCAGTGTTTTTTAGTCATGGTATAGTTTTTTTTTTTTTTTTTGACCATAAACGTCCTTTCAATCTACTCAATATATTGTTATGTGATATTAATTAAACCCAATATTAGAGCTTTCTCACACAAACAGATGAAAAATGAGTAACACTTTAGAATAAGGATGCATTAGTGAATGTGTTTACTAACATGCAACCAACAATACATTTATTGTCATATTTATTCAACTTTGTTATCTTCAATTAATGAAAATATAAATTTGTTAACTCAAAATGAATTAACAAATGTTATCAAACTGCTTTTTCATGTTAATAATGCATTAGTAAATGTTGAACTAATAAATGCTGTACATGTACAGTTCATTATTTTTGTTAGTATTTGTATTTGTAGTATTTGTTAGTTCATTATTCATGTTAGTAAATGCATTAACTAACGAAGGCTTATTGCAAAGTGACAAATGTGGAGCTGTCAGACTTTTACATTCATTTGTATATGATATTAGCAGTGGAAATAGTCCCTTGATCCAGTTGTGTGCTTATTGTATGGAAGCACTGCCCAAAGAAATTTGTAATGAAGAATAGAGATTTGTATTAAGGATATATTTACTGGATGCTAAAAAATGATAACAGTGCATTGTACATTGGAAGATGAAATTATTAAGAAAAATATTACAAGGGATTTAGATATGTACATTTAGAGGTTAATTACTCTATCATTGATGCATTTTGATGTGACTGCAATGTAAAACAATGTACAAATGTATCCCCTGAAAAGAATTTATAAATGGCAGTAAGACATGTATTTATTTTATAAATAACTTAAAATTACTGCCATCATAAATTCTTTTATTTCTTTATTTTTTATTTATTTAGCTATTTTTATTTATTTATTGATTTATTTATTTTATTGATTTATTTATTTATTTTTATTTATTTTTATTTATTTATGTTTATTTAATCGTTTTTGTAATTTTTTATTAATTCATTTATTTTTATTTACTAATTCATTTTTATCTATATTTATTATCATTTATTTATATTTATATATTAATTTATTTTTATGTATATGTTTATTTTTATTCATTCGTTCATTTTTATTTATTTATTTTTATTCATTTATTAATTTCTATCGATTTTATTTATTCATTTATATTTATTTATTTTCATTTATTTGTTTTTATTCATTTATTTATTTTATTTATTTATTTGTTTGTTTATTTTTATTTATTTGTTTATTTTTATTTATTTTTATTTATTTTATTTTTCTTTATTCATTTATTTTTATTAATTTGCTTATTTTCATTTATTTATTCATTTAAATTTTTATTTATTTATATTTATTTATTTTTATAATTGTTTGTTTTTTATATTTATTAATTAATTAATTTTTATATTTATTTACTTATTTAAATTTATATATTTATTTATTTATTCATTTAAATTGTTGGGGAAAGGGTTGTTATGCAAAAAAATAAAAATAAATAATTACCAAAAACAATAACATTTAATAAAAATAAATAAATAAAATTTAATTTAAAAAATCATTAATAAAAGGTTTTTTAAAACTAATAGCAGTGTTTTACTGACCTGCAGACCGTCCCATTCTTGCTCTAGTTTGTTGAGTAAGGATTTGTTCATGTCTGCATCTTTGCCTCGCATCTAGAGAAACAATACAGACATATATCTATCATATATCTATTAGAAATGTAAATGCAATAGATATACATTACAATGAATACTGAAGTAGTAATGATGCTGTAAATGTAACTTTTAATCGCTGAAACTAATTACATTTTACACTGTATTATATAAATGTGTATATGTATTTGTGTGCAAAAATGTGTCTGAGTGTATGAACTGGTTTTAGTGGTTTACAAGGACAGAAATGTGTATAATGATATCGGTATGATCTATAGGTATAAAAACATTGCAGTGGTTTAAAAGGACATTCCTTGTGTACTCATAAATCAAAACTGTTTACATTTATACTTAACAGGGTCTTTTGACATATGTTTTAGAAAATTTTGCCACACATTTCCTGTGAGGGTTGGGTTTAGGGGCCATATAACAAGAGTTTAATGCAGTATAAATACATTATGCTTATGGAGAGTCCTCATAAACCACCAAAACTAACAGGTGAGTGTGTATTTTTTTATAGTGTGTGGTGTTTGTACAGTATAAAAACCATTATGCCAATGGAATGTCCCCAGAGTCCCCACAATTCAGAAAAACAAACCTGTGTGTGTGTCTGAAAGAGAGAGTGTGAGTGTGTCTCACCAGTTCAGTCCGGGCTCTGTTCATCTCCATACTGTTCTGGATGGAGTTGTGGAAGCTGCTGTGATTGGAGATCTGCTGCTCGACCGCTGTTAGATCATCACCCCATGCAGACGTCTCTATCAGCCGCTGCACATACACACACACACACATACACACACACACATATACACACACACATACATTAGATCACACTGCTCAAACAAAAGCAGCAGGAGGAGATGTACAGTACACTGGGCACTATAAATGACAAGAATTACAACAGCATCAGAACTAATTCACTCAGTAAGGTTACATTATGTTACATTATGCTTTATTACAGCAGAGTTCAGTGTGTGCTGCGGAGGTTTGGTTTGAATAAAAAAATCTTTTTAAAAAATGTGAAAACTGATACTATTATTAGCCACCTTCATTTCTGGATAGTCTACAGAACAAACCACTGTAATTCAATGACTTGCTTAATTACCCTAACTTCCTGAATTAACCTAGTTACGCTTTTAAATGTCACTTTAAGCTGAATACCAGCATTTTGCAAAATAACTAGTAAAATGATATGCATTTCAAAATAATGCTCAAATGGGTATTTTTATAGATTAATATGACAACATGTAGGACAGCTGTGCCATGATGGGTGTGAGGACAGAGCAACATCTCTAGCTAGGGTACTAAACCCTAAACCCTTACCCAACAAACCTAACACCATCGTTACCCTAATCTAACCTTAACGTTACCCTACCTGAACTCTAATTAACCCAAACTAACATAAACCTACCATGAAGCTAAGCTAATGCTAAGTACTTATATCTTAATCTTACTAACCCTAACACAAAATAACTTAAACCTATCCTTACTCTAACTAACTTAGCCTAACCCTACCCTAACTACAACTAATTTAAACATATCCTAACCTAAACATAACCAACTTAACTTACCCTAATCCTAATTAATTTAACCCGACCCCAACTACGACTAACTTAAAGCTATCCAAACCCTGACCTAACCCTAACTAACATAAAACCTATCCTACTCTAACCCTAACTAACTTTAACCTTTCCTAACCCTAAATAACTTAACCTTACCTTAACCCTAATTAACTTAACTCTCCCCTAACTACAACTAATTTAAACCGATCCTAACCTTAACTAAATTAACCTTACCCTAACCCTAACTAACTAACTTAAACCTATCCTTACTCTAACTTGCCTAACCCCAACCCTAAATAACTTACCATACCCTAATTACAAATAACTTAAACCTATCCCAACCCTAACTAACATAACCCTAGCCTAACTCTAAATAACATAACCCTGGGGCCTGTTTCAGTAAGGAGGTTTAAACAACTCAGAGTTTAAACTTGAACTCTGAGTTGATTTACCGAGAGATTAAAAACTCTGAGTTTTCGGTTTCAGAACAGCTGATCTGAGCTGGGTCAATCAACTTTGAGTAGACCAACTCAGAGTAAAGCGTGCGCAATGTGACTATAAAAAGGCATTATCAATGGAGCGCAGACATTACGACTGACTATGGCAACATCTGAAAAAAAGAAATCAGCATTTCTTTCTCCAGCTGAATTTGATCTGCTCATGCAAAGTTATAGCAAATATGAGTGTATATATTTAAAAGGAAGCAGCCATGAGTGAAACAGAGACAGCGTGGGAAAACAGCTGCTCAAGTTAATGCGTAATTTTTAATTTTAAGTATTTAAACATTTAAGTATAATAAAATAAGTAATGTAATGTCATGTTTATACTTTTTTTTTAAACTTTTATACACTTTTATCAGTTTTAATAGATTTAACAGTGCACTTGTTATGTGTCTGCCTTTTTATTGATCAAGTGATAGAGGTTGATATAACATTAAGAAGGTAAGCAGTAATAAAATTATTTTTAGACAGAATAATAATCCCATTAATCTCTAACAGTACATGTCGAAGGTTAAGCTAATTATTTATGAAAAAAAGGACAAGCCTCGTGCATGACTTTGTTCTGTGTGTGACAAAAATGTAGGCAATAGCTGTTTCCATCAAAATTACATACATTTGTGCAACACTGGAATAAAATAAAGCAGCGTTTTTATCCAAAGAGTCGAAGAGAACACAATCATCACTTCCTGATTAACTTGCGCCAAATATCAACAGTAAAAACAGAATTACTGTGGTAGAAGAAGCTGCGTCAATGATTTTTTATTTAATTAATGTACTTGCGCCTCAGAAGACAATTGACACACAATAAACACGTGGGGGCGTTTGAAGCCAGACGCGGAGATCTTGACACGCTCCAGACGCTCGGAGGTAATTAATAAAATACACTAATACTGAAACAGTAAAGGCATTTTAGAATCACTAAAACAACATTTAAGATGTTCTGCAGTGTGCTCAGTCTGCTGGTTTGTCCTTTCACACACATTTTCATCATCATCTCTAACAAACCTTTTTTTAATGTACATACTGTAATTTGTTAAGTGCACTTCGTAGTTTATGTGCATCTTATCAAATAAAATATCTTATCAAATAAAAGTTTAACTCAGTTATGCACATGTTTTATTATGCGTATTTTCAAAAGTTATGTGAATCATGACGTTTCCATCAATCCTTTTTATGCACATTTCCAAAAAGAGCTCTAAAATAGGTGTGTGGAAATGTAAGACTAATGCGAGAAATACTGCTTCATCTTTAAAAAGGGGAGGAGACCGACAGAAACTCAGAGTTTAGAGAATAAAACCTGCTCCGGACCAGGTTAGATTCAAAGAGTAAGTTACCACAGTAACTGACTCTGAGTTAAAGTTAACTCTCTTTTAGAAACAGGCTTGACTTACCCTGCTTTCTCGAGTTTAACAAACCTGCCTTTTTGAAACGGAAAACCCAGAGTTTCTCTCATTTCAGGGTTAAACTACTCTGAGTTTTAACTTAACCTGCTTTCTGAGCAGGCCCCCTATCCTAAATAACTTAACCTTACCCTAACCTTAAATAACCTATTCATACCCTAATCCTAAATAACTTTACTCTAGCCTAACTTAAACCTTTCCTAACCCTGACTAACTTAAGCTTACCCTAACCCTAAATAACTTTACCCTATCCTAAATCTAAATAACCTAAACCTATTCTAAATATAACTAACATAACCTTACCCTTACTCTAAATAATTTAATCTTACCCTAACTCTAAATAATCTACTCTTTCCTAACTAATAAACTTATAACTAATAACATATTCTAACCCCAACCCCAACTAACTTAACCTTCCCTTAACCTTAAATAACTTAACCCTAGCCTAACTAACCTAAACCTATCCTACCCTAACCCTAGTTTACCTAACCTTACCCTAACCTAACTAGATTAACTCAACCCTAACCCTAACTAACTTAAACCTACCCTAACCATAACTAACTTAAACCTATCCTAACCCTACACTCAAAAAAATGAATTATGGCTTTAGTTGGTCCAAAGAATGTAACTATGTTTAAATTAAACAATTCACTTATGTTTGTGTATTAAAAATAAAAGTGTTGTGTTGAAAAAAATTAGAAAAAGTAAGTTTTTACATTTAAACAGCTCGCTTATGTAACATGAATGAAAGGGAGTTGTGTTGCTTCTGCAGTACTGCATTTTGGTCAATAGGTGGAGTAATATCTGCACATGCGCAGTTTCAAAACAACACAGGAAGTAAGAAAATTCAAACCACAACGATCACTCTAAGCTCGTTTAGATCGGCGCCATATTATGGGAATCAAAAGATGAAGATTACAGTACAAATTGAGAACGTGCACAAAGCTTTCCCCAATGTGGACACACAGGTGAGATTTTTTTTTTTACTTTTTATGTATTTATACTAAGGCTGTGACAACATTTGAATCATAAATGTACTCTCTTGTAATACTATGTTGTGTTTGTGTATAGTATTGCTATGAAATTGCCATGTTCCCTGTGTCTCCACATTTTAGAGGAATAAATGTATAGTTTGTTTTGCATTCCTGTGAAATTTTATACTTGGTATATATTAACTCCCCCAAAATAAAGTAGCAACCGTTGGTAGTAAGGAATAGTCATGTTAGAATAGTCAAAGCTTTTCACTCATCATAGCACACGTGCTGCTGATAATGTGACAATAAAAGTGATTTGATTTTTTTATTTGATTTGATATTCTTTATTTTAAATGAGTGTCAAGCAGTTTGTCGAGTTTGAATGCCAGTTTTGATAACTTACATAATATTAATTAAAATGTGGTGTTGGCACATTGTTATTTATTATCTAATTGTATTCAAGCCTATTAACTTAAAAAAAAAAAAATCTTGACAAGCATATGTGACACTTAAATAGCATGACATCTAGCATGATGACATATTTAATGTAAACTTATTTGTTTGGTCATCTAACAAGTGTTAATTTTTAAGTTTAGTAATTTGCTATTTATATTATTATATTTTATTATTTTAAATCTTTGCTCACTCACATCTATTTTCTCCCTCACAGGTTTACAGCTCAACCTCTAAAGTCCCATATCTGGCTGAAGAGACTGGATCATCTAGGTACTATGCCTTTAGATGCCTATACACACATTAAAATGATGTACCGTAAAAATTACTAGTAATTTTAACTACTAATTATTAAGTAAATTACTAATTGTCATTTCATGTCATTTAGAACATCACCAGTGGAAAAAAAGGTGTGAATGCATCCTCAAAGCCCCTAAGTGAGGGAGTACATGGTAAGCTATTTTATTTAATTTTTTTAAACATTTTGTATTTTCCTCTTAAACCAATTCCTCCTTTCACCTTTGATCTGTTGGTAAATGTTTTATTTTTTTACCTGACTTTTTTAGGATGCTGGGCATGATGAAGCGCAAATCTTGATGTGCAACACCACCTTATGAATCTACAGTAGTTACATTAACATTTAGCAGACTCTTTTGTCTAAAGTGACTTACAATTGAGGACACTTTCAGCAAATCAACAAGAAGAGGCGATACACCCAAGATGTGCTAATTATACAAAAAAGTTTAAGAATTAAGAATGCTTCTACATGTGGTTTGTCAAGCCCACACACCTGTGTGAAGCAGATTTCATGCACAATGTTTTGTTTTTTTTGTTTTTTAGATATAGGGAGTGGATGTCAGAAAGTGTCTGGTGCAAATG